TTGCCGAGTCGGATGCGTCTACTGCGATACTAATGGGTGCTTCGGTGTCCTGATGTGCGAGAATTGTCGCTTTAGCAATCAGTTCCTTAATTGTGGAGAATGCTTTTCGTGCGGTGTCGTCCAAATTAATGGATTTCGCATTTCCACGAAGTTGGTCGGTCAGAGGTTTCATAAGTAATGCGCATTTCGGTATGAAACGTCTATAGAAACTTACGAGGCCGTTAAACGTGCGTAATTGCTTGACGGTGGTCGGTTCTGGGTAATCCAGAATGGCCGCCACTTTGGTCCTAAGAGGTCGAATGCCTTGAGCATCGATAGTGTGTCCTAGGAAGTCTAACGAGTCGGTTCCGAATTGGCATTTCTGAACGTTTACAGTTATGCCATGTTGTTGAAGTCGTTCGAAAACAAGATCCAGATGCTTGAGATGTGTTTCTCTGTCCGGACTTGCGATTAGACAGTCGTCAACATACGCGTGTACGAAGTTGAGACCTCGAAAAACGTCGTCTATGAATCTTTGGAATGTTTGAGCAGCATTCCTTAGACCGAAAGGCATTCGCAAAAATTCATAGAGTCCGAAAGGAGTTATGATAGCTGTTTTCGGTATGTCGTCAGTAGCCATAGGGATTTGGTTATACGCTTTAACCAAGTCGATTTTCAAAAAGACAGTTGTACCTTTCAAGGTAGCTGTCAAATCGTGAATGTGAGGCAACGGGTAACGATCGGGAATGGTTTTCGCGTTCAATCGCCGATAGTCACCAGTTGGACGCCAATCGTTGCTGTCCTTTTCAGGGACTATGTGCAACGGAGATGCATATGGGCTACTTGACGGTCGTATGATTCCTAAGTCCATCATATGGTCGAACTCGTTTTTCGCTAACCTTAGCTTTTCAGGAGCTAGTCGGCGTGCTTTAGAAAATACAGGTGGTCCTGTAATCGTGATGTGATGTGTAACATTGCTGGTTACACACGGTAGTTTCGGTTGAGTTTGTTGTATCCCAGGGTACTTATCGAGTAGTGGCTGATAGAGTGGGTCTATCATATGTTTAACTGTGACTGGGGATACTCTGCAACCAGTAAAAGAAGTTACGCAAACGGACAAATTAGTGTTACCGTCTACTAGCCTCCGTTTGCGAGTGTCGATGATCAGATTGTGGTGTTGTAGAAGGTCCATACCAATGATTGGGACAGAAACATCTGCAACAACGAAAATCCAGTAGATGGGTTTGCGTAAACCAACGTTAAGGTAAACGTACCTTTTGCCATACGTAGCGATCGGTTTTCCGTTTGACGCCTGTAAGTTTAGAGTCGATTCGTGTAGTCGGTCGTTAGGATTTGCTGGGAGAACGCTAACTTCTGCGCCAGTGTCGACGAGGTAGCGAACTCTCGTTGTCACATCCGTGACGTATAACAAACGGCTATGTTCGCCGGCTACGGTTGCCGTTAACGCGTGCCGGCTTGGAAGTTTCCCGAGTTGTTTTTCGAGTCACTCGGTTTCGTGTTGGGAAAATTGCAGGGTTTTCTGCAATTTCTGGAAAACTTTCCATACTGGTTATGATACCAGCACCAGTCGGGGTTATCTGTCTCTCGTGGTCTAGAGACAGATCGCTTACGAGAAATGCTTCTACGTGGAGTGCGCGATCTCTTGCGGTCGGTACGAAGATTAAGATAACGCGTGAGTGTATGACATAACTCGGTTATGTCATTCTGAGTCGTCTGAGGTTTTTCTTTGACTGAAAATACCTCGGTAGTAGAAGGTTTCGTAATTTCTAAAATGCGGTCGGCAGATGCAGCTAGCTCGTCTAAGGCGTTGTTCTGGAACGAGACCAGAACTGCTTGCACCTGTTGGGGAAGTTTTGACAAGAAGAGTTGTTTGAATAGACCTTCGTCGAAAGTTCTTGGGCCTATAATCTCTCTCATCCGTTGCAACATGTCCGTCGCAGAACCGTGTTGCAGGTCGATGTTATTGAAGAGTTGATCTAACCTTTGTCGATCAGTTAGGTCTCCTCGCTTAAGAATCGAGCGTTTTAAGATTTCGTAAGGATCGGGAACATCACTAGTAAACATACTAGGTGTTACGTACCTGTTGAATTCGCGCGGTAGTGCCTTGACTACTGCGAGGAATTGTGCACGTGTGTCGATCACGCCGTGCTCGTGGAAGTCGGCTTCTGCGTAGCAGAACCAGGCTTCGATGTTGTTTGGCCAGAAAGGCATCAGTTGAAACGAAGGCGGGGACAAGGTCTTAAGCTTGAGTACTTTAGGTGTCTGTTCAGTCATGATGAAGTATGAAGTACGATAATGAACGAGGGGAAAATATACATATATCCAAGAAAAAACACGAAAAAAATTACAATGTTTAAAAAAGTTAAAAAAATAAGGCAATGATAAATAAAAATCCCAAAGAGGAACAGACTCACAGTTGCAATTAGGTGTACCAGATCACGTCGGTCTCACCAATGATGATGTCACAGGTATTCAGTGTTTGACAATGCTTCTACCAGTGACACCTAATATATTTCGTTCCCACCCAGAGAAATCAAAAGACAGAGTCGAGGAGATCGGAAGAGTATATTTGGCGATGACCAATATATCGGAATTCTCTGTTCTAATCTGGCTAGCGATTGCGGTTGATTTTGAGCACAGCGTTACCACACGTGATCTGGTGCGGATGCCTGACCGAGCGCCTTCAGCTAAATGAGTCCACTAAAACATATGGTCAGCATCCAATGTCGAAAACTTACAGACCTATTTATTTTGGGGATTTATTTATCCCTACAATAGCACTTCGTTTCGTCTTGATTTCTATACTTAATACGCTCATATATATATATATACCAAAAAATGACACAATTTTGTTTATTTCCTAATATGCTGGTTTATATGTGTATATTTCCTTTTTTTAAAAATCACTCTAGAAGAATCTTTTTACGCCATTGCGTGTTTACTAAACGCATATAAACGAGTTTATTTACCTTTTTCGCTCATTTTGTGTCTCTACACATATAAGAGTGTAATTCGACATGCGCATACGTAACCTTTTCTCTTTTCCAGTCGTCCTGGAGAAGAAGAAAAAAAGAACGGCGAAGTTTACGACGAACCGAAATTTACATAAGACCTTGTTTTTTTATTACTATATTGTACAGCATAGCCCCATGTAGTAAAGAAAGACTACAAGACACTTCAAAACATAGTAAGCTCTCAGAACAGTGTCCACCAACGGCAAACTCGATGGGTTTAAACTTCTGGCTGGCCATGTCTTAGGGTCACTATTACCAAACAAAGGGGTGGAGTGATCTGTAGCGATAAATAACCTTCCAAAATCAATAGCTTTTTACGTCTTCGTAATTTGATGCTGACCGCATTAGTTTTAATGAACTGACCAAGCTGAAGGCGCTCGGTCACGCTTTCGTGCCAGATCAGGAGTGGGTACACTATGCCTAACTTTTCCTGCAAACGCTAGCCAGCTTAGATCAATCACCTCTCGATATATCGATAGCCTATCAAACATATTTTCGAAACTGCTTGCTTCTGACTTCTGATTTTACTGGGTTAACGCGTTTCGATTATAGGTAGTTTTACTCGTTGGAGTGCTGTAAAAGCCCAATTACTTGTGGCATCTTTAGTATCATTAACATGAGCATATAATGATGAAGTAGCTAGCTCAAAATTAACTGTTTTTATCTTATTGACACCGCCAAACTATAAACTGTGCATCATACATCAAATACTATATGAATTGTGATTAATTGTTTTGTGTCCGACCTCATCATCAATGGTTCCAACGTTCGAGTATATTTTCTGTGTTCGACAGATACAGTGCAAGGACATTACGATAGATCACGCCAAAATCGACGAACAGGTTTATAGTATTATCTTTTGGCATACTATGTCGTTTCACAACAATTTCCTGACATCGGCGAGGGCGAAGTGTTCAGCAAAGTTTACAGTTTATACTCTTTACTAACTACTTACAGAAAAATGGACAACAAGAAGTGTACAAAACTTCAGATAGGAAAGGTTTTCCGATTGAGATTTAGTCGAATTTTGTTTATATTAAGATAGAATTGATGGCTGTTCAGAATACTGATTAACAATAATTCGTAATCATATAATTACATATATTCATTTTGGCTATATGATCAAACTATGCTCTGTCATTTTGAAACCATATATAATCATATTTGACGAAGATTTGCATTTCATATCTGTATTCAATTTCTTAAGGAATATATGGTTATATCGTATTTGGATGCTTTAACCCACGTACTTTATGTATCTACAGGATCTATTCAAACCTCTACCTAATATCAAGAAATATATATAACCGTTTATGTTAAAGGACTTTATTCACTATTTTATGAACTATCATTTAAATCGTATTTGGGTACTATAAGTCATTTAATTTCCGAAATTACCTGTCTAATTCGGTGAGTCTGTCATAGTTTTTTTTGACAGTATTTTTTTTCGAAAAACTTTTTCATATATTTGTTCATGAAGCAGCATAATAATCTTAGACGGTAATAATCTTTTAAACTACTTATCTCTGCACCTCCCAATTTTTACTAATACGGACTTTCAGTTTACATATGTATCACCTACCGTACTCACTTTGATTGTTTGATACTAATTATCGACATCTCTAAATTACTTCACTATATAATGCTATTTTTTGTGTCATACATATGTTAAAATTTATACAACTTGCTCCTTTATATTCTATTTTGCCTCCACACAGATACTGACATAAATACTTCATCCCCACTACAATCTTCCTGCCATTGTCATCTTTTGTTTTTGACACCAAAACTAAATTAATTTTGCTAATCCAAGATTGAACAAAGTTTAACAATACACCTACGTTATAAAAGGCTCCTTGGACCAGTGTTACTGAAGTAGTACAGAAACGAAAAAAATTCCGTCAAAAACAATGTAGATTCAGAATAATGTTTAGAAAAACACTGTTTGTTTATGTGAATTAATTAATGTGTACCTGAAAAACTTACTGATATGTAACCAGAGCGACGCGTTCGCCACCCAAATGCCCAACATTGATAGAAAGGTCTCCATACTTTCCTAGTTCCCGGTACACACATTGTTCAACAACATCAGCACTCAACTTGGATGAAATGTTTCTTACACATATAGTTCTAGAATGATCTAACCCATGAGTTCTTCCTTCCGAATTCTTCGGTCTTGAAGAATGTCTATTTGAGAGAGAATACTTAGACCTCGAACTAGGAGAGCTTCGAGATACCGATCGATGTCTCTCTGAATATCCTGATCGATCTCTGTGTCGCTTCGACGGGGGCGAGAAGTCTTGATCTCCATGTCTTCGCATCGCACTAAGGCCTAAATCAGAATAGACACAGATATGAGGTAAGTTAGGAGAACATAGTGGTATAGCAACTAATAATAAAAAATTGAAGACACCTAACTGCTTCAAGATAGCCAGTGGATTTATCCTGGCTTTTGAAAAGCACTTAAATAACAAGTATATAATGCGTTTAAATTGCCGACTACAGTAGTTACTTGGATAGTAATGCGAGAGCCAACAAGATACATTCCAAACTAACGATATTAATGAGTGGGAGGCACATCACTATAGCCGTCACTGTAGGTTAATAATATGAAAGATTAATGACGTAGACAAAATGACTACATGATTTATTTATTACCATCTATCAAGAGTGGAAAGGAAGCAGGACCAGACAACATACCGGCTGAAGCACTGAAGTCAAGCAAGGAAGTGAAGAGGAGCATTAGAGCCGATAACCAGAAATATGCGGAAGACCTAGCAACGACAGCAGAAATAGCTGCAAAATAAGGAATGTCAAACTTAGTATCCGCATGAGGTGGTCTATATATGCATCCCACCAGTAAATAATTTTGGGATCCACAGTTTACAGTAACCCAAGTGGAGTCGTCTATAGCACCAAGGGATTTATCCTCAAATTTGCATGCTTGAATGTCTGAACGGACATAGATAATTGTACCGCCTCCTGTTCCATAACATCTATCGGTTCTAAAGAAGACGTAGTTATCTACATTCAAGGAATGATCGGATATAGATGAATTACACCACGTTTCCGTAATAAGTACAATGGTTGGATTTACAAGAAATAAAAGAGTTTTAAGATGAACAATTTTATTGGACAGAGAGCGGGCATTGAACGAAAGAATAAGAAACTCAGAGGTATCATAGTGAAGCAGGTTAGAGTATAAATCGCAATTGGTAGTTCCATGAATACTCGTAGGATTAGCTAAGGTAAGAGTTGTGTTGCGAGGGGAAATAGATTCAGCCACTTTGTCATCATGTGAAATATGTTTACCGTTGCCGGCAGGAAGGCCGGCGGAATTACAAAAAAAGTCTTCTCATTGCTATTGGTTACAACATCTGATAAAGGCATAGTGTACATATTGGGAGCCGGACCAAGAAGGCTATCAGGTCTATGTGTGCGACCAAGCGGCCAATTACAATTCAGATAACTATTTATACCTGACGTACGGGTAACGTGTTTAGGACGTTTATTTCCAAGGTTTGTGGTTGATTTTGGCTTCTTCATAAGTTGGAGAGGATTGTGTGCTGTTAAACATACTTGCGATGGTTTGCGAGGTTCGAATATATCAACGTTAAGTGCGTGGTCAGTTATATGAATGTTATGATTAGTTTTCCTGTTATCCGTTGCACAGCTACTGTAGTTGGGTGTTGCACTAACAGGGGTTTGGACTGTGTTATCCCATTCGTCATGAGCACAACTACCTCGGGTTGAGTCTAAGTCAACATTCTTAAGAGGATGGACACCACCTACATTGGGATTGCTTTCTTCTGGGTTTTGAACTTTAGGAGATTCAGAAGAGTTTTTCGGTGGCGGCATACTTGTAAAGCTAGATGTCCTCTTAGAATCAAACTTAACTTTACGACCATTAGGATTATGATGCGTTTGAGAGTTTGACGCTGGTGGTCTGTAACTATATCTTCCTGCTTTTCGCTGGCATGGTGTTTTATTCGGAAGAGTCTTAATATTTCGATAATGATATTAGAAGACGAAGATTGTCAGAACTATGTGATATATTAGCGCAATACATTTCGAACAATCTGGTCACACATATACTTGTTAAGAGCATTTATATATAAAAATAAAAGGTCAACTAGACAGGTCTAAGTATTCTCTCTCAAATAGACATTCTTCAAGACCGAAGAATTCGGAAGGAAGAACTCATGGGTTAGATCATTCTAGAACTATATGTGTAAGAAACATTTCATCCAAGTTGAGTGCTGATGTTGTTGAACAATGTGTGTACCGGGAACCAGGAAAGTATGGAGACCTTTCTATCAATGCTGGGCATTTGGGTGGCGAACGCGTCGCTCTGGTTACATATCAGTAAGTTTTTCAGGTACACATTAATTAATTCACATAAACAAACAGTGTTTTTCTAAACATTATTCTGAATCTACATTGTTTTTGACGGAATTTTTTTCGTTTCTGTACTACTTCAGTAACACTGGTCCAAGGAGCCTTTTATAACGTAGGTGTATTGTTAAACTTTGTTCAATCTTGGATTAGCAAAATTAATTTAGTTTTGGTGTCAAAAACAAAAGATGACAATGGCAGGAAGATTGTAGTGGGGATGAAGTATTTATGTCAGTATCTGTGTGGAGGCAAAATAGAATATAAAGGAGCAAGTTGTATAAATTTTAACATATGTATGACACAAAAAATAGCATTATATAGTGAAGTAATTTAGAGATGTCGATAATTAGTATCAAACAATCAAAGTGAGTACGGTAGGTGATACATATGTAAACTGAAAGTCCGTATTAGTAAAAATTGGGAGGTGCAGAGATAAGTAGTTTAAAAGATTATTACCGTCTAAGATTATTATGCTGCTTCATGAACAAATATATGAAAAAGTTTTTCGAAAAAAAATACTGTCAAAAAAACTATGACAGACTCACCGAATTAGACAGGTAATTTCGGAAATTAAATGACTTATAGTACCCAAATACGATTTAAATGATAGTTCATAAAATAGTGAATAAAGTCCTTTAACATAAACGGTTATATATATTTCTTGATATTAGGTAGAGGTTTGAATAGATCCTGTAGATACATAAAGTACGTGGGTTAAAGCATCCAAATACGATATAACCATATATTCCTTAAGAAATTGAATACAGATATGAAATGCAAATCTTCGTCAAATATGATTATATATGGTTTCAAAATGACAGAGCATAGTTTGATCATATAGCCAAAATGAATATATGTAATTATATGATTACGAATTATTGTTAATCAGTATTCTGAACAGCCATCAATTCTATCTTAATATAAACAAAATTCGACTAAATCTCAATCGGAAAACCTTTCCTATCTGAAGTTTCGTACACTTCTTGTTGTCCATTTTTCTGTAAGTAGTTAGTAAAGAGTATAAACTGTAAACTTTGCTGAACACTTCGCCCTCGCCGATGTCAGGAAATTGTTGTGAAACGACATAGTATGCCAAAAGATAATACTATAAACCTGTTCGTCGATTTTGGCGTGATCTATCGTAATGTCCTTGCACTGTATCTGTCGAACACAGAAAATATACTCGAACGTTGGAACCATTGATGATGAGGTCGGACACAAAACAATTAATCACAATTCATATAGTATTTGATGTATGATGCACAGTTTATAGTTTGGCGGTGTCAATAAGATAAAAACAGTTAATTTTGAGCTAGCTACTTCATCATTATATGCTCATGTTAATGATACTAAAGATGCCACAAGTAATTGGGCTTTTACAGCACTCCAACGAGTAAAACTACCTATAATCGAAACGCGTTAACCCAGTAAAATCAGAAGTCAGAAGCAAGCAGTTTCGAAAATATGTTTGATAGGCTATCGATATATCGAGAGGTGATTGATCTAAGCTGGCTAGCGTTTGCAGGAAAAGTTAGGCATAGTGTACCCACTCCTGATCTGGCACGAAAGCGTGACCGAGCGCCTTCAGCTTGGTCAGTTCATTAAAACTAATGCGGTCAGCATCAAATTACGAAGACGTAAAAAGCTATTGATTTTGGAAGGTTATTTATCGCTACAGATCACTCCACCCCTTTGTTTGGTAATAGTGACCCTAAGACATGGCCAGCCAGAAGTTTAAACCCATCGAGTTTGCCGTTGGTGGACACTGTTCTGAGAGCTTACTATGTTTTGAAGTGTCTTGTAGTCTTTCTTTACTACATGGGGCTATGCTGTACAATATAGTAATAAAAAAACAAGGTCTTATGTAAATTTCGGTTCGTCGTAAACTTCGCCGTTCTTTTTTTCTTCTTCTCCAGGACGACTGGAAAAGAGAAAAGGTTACGTATGCGCATGTCGAATTACACTCTTATATGTGTAGAGACACAAAATGAGCGAAAAAGGTAAATAAACTCGTTTATATGCGTTTAGTAAACACGCAATGGCGTAAAAAGATTCTTCTAGAGTGATTTTTAAAAAAAGGAAATATACACATATAAACCAGCATATTAGGAAATAAACAAAATTGTGTCATTTTTTGGTATATATATATATATATGAGCGTATTAAGTATAGAAATCAAGACGAAACGAAGTGCTATGTAGTGTCTTACGTGCAGTAATCGTTTAGGTGTTCTGGAAACCTATCTCTCCTTCCAGAATGCATTGTTTTTGGTATTTTCTCAGATCTCGCACAAGTATCACCGTGATTGCTGGCTATCTCATGAGGTATCAGAATTTTGGGGCTCATTTATTCGATTGTACCGAAGGAAAATAGATATGAATAGCGTTTCCCTCTAAATACGCGATTTTTATGCAATCGATGCTGTTGCTATTGTTAGTTCCGTTCTTATCGATTATATGGTACTTAGGTTCAAGCTGAAGAACTCTGAATGGCATTTCGTATGCTGTTTCGAGAGACCGTCAAAGTGAGTCGCGCCGTACAATGACGTAAGTACTATATCATAGAGCAGGTAGAACGAATGCATTAGTTGATTGAGGTCATGTGAAATTAGGTTTAACCATACTCACGGCGTTTGTAAGCCTTTTCGTGTTAGAGTTTAGATCCGTATTCACTGAAAAAAA